CAAATAAGCAAATGGATGTATAGAATTGACAACAACAACCACGCTGTCGAGTTTAAATAGCGGCAAATCAGCTGCACTTGATAGTAGTTGGTTGAATAAGGAAAATGAATTAGCAACAAGAGTTTACGGGATGTACATAGCTCAGTGGTTAACGCTTCTGACTTTGAACATCGAATTCGCAGGTTCGATCCCTGCTGAAGTCTAGAAAAAGAAGTCTGATGAGGAGATGTGGTGATCTCCGAAATAGTGCTATAACTTCTACCGCTTAGACTTTGTTGGTTTTTAAATTTTTCCTAATAACCACGCGTGGTACAAAGCTCAATNTAAACATAGAAACGCAAGCAGAAGAATGTCGCTTCCACATTCTGCATATGCGCTTAACATTTTTGTTTAAACAAATATGTCGAAATTTCATCTCTAAAGCAAATATTAAATACCATTTAATATATACTTTAGATTTAAATAATCATTTTTAGTGTTGGGCGAGTCTGAGATGTTTAAATGATCGAGATAGTACATTCAATTCGCGTATATTTTTGAGAACTTTTTTCGTTGAAGGTGTTGCACTTTTTCTTCCATACTGAAATTTGTGTACATCATTTATCATTGTCTAACAAAACCAAAAAATAAATCTTAATTTAAAAGTACCAGGGTGACCGAGCTTTGCCCGGAGTGCATATACTTTTTAAAGTTTTCAAGATTTGGATAGCTTTAACAAAAATATCTATTAAGTAAATTTCTTACTCTAAAATTTAGATGGCAACCCTATTCCGAAATACGCTGGAACGAATGGTACATATCTTGAGCGTATGTGTACTATGTAGTTATACATAAAAAAATGTTGATTGAGATTAACAAAATAAAAATTTATATAACAAGGAAGCGAGGTAACCCTGATGGAAAATATTTTCTGACCAAAGTTCTCAACAACACCTTTCATTTGATATCCATATTGCGATGTTTTAGATAAATTGTGTAGAATCGGAAAGAAGTGGAACCCTTACGCTATTATCCTAAGGAATAACATTTTGTATATAGGGAAAGCATTGTTTAAGAACCTTCTCTTGGTACCCATGAATAGTAATATTTTACCTTTTTTTCTAAACAAAAAAATTAAATAAATATTCGATTCAAAATAGGTGGCAACCTTATTAAAAATATTTTTGAATTAGGGATCTTTAAAATACCTTCCATTTGATAGCCATGTTATGATGTTTTAATTAATTTATAACTAATTTCGAATAGGTGGCAACCTTATACGAGTCTTCTCGGAGATATTGCCTATTCAGATAACCTTAAAATTTACGAGAACCCAATGGATATATATATATATATACAAGAATTTCTCGTTTAATGTAATAAGATATTGTAATAAAAAACCACAACGCTACACGCGCATTCATCCATATAACATAAAATGCGAACGTTCGTTATATGGAAGAAAGTGCGCAACACCGCAAACAGAAAAATTCAAAAAAATCAATGGTATTTTCTAGACACTTCAAACTTGCACCTTATTATACTAGAATGAATGGGCTACAAAAATGTTAACCCAAAACATGTCTACAAATTCTGAACAAAAACTGCGAAAATTTGATGAAACTTTGTTGATTTTTTTTCATTCTTTCAAGTTTCGATTTATTTGCAAGGTTTTTGTTTGGCAATGAGCTACAATTTTATAAAAAAAAATAATTAAAATTATTTAAAAATCCACAATAAGTTTTCACTGAAAACGGCCTCGAGCTCATAAAAAATTGTTGAATTATTTAAAAAAATAAAATAAATACCGGGCGACCGTGTAATTTTGTCAAAGATGAAGACAATGATGATAAAACATTAATGCACTATATAGCTCAGTTCATATTAATGAACATAAAATGAGATCACTATCGATAAAATGGAAATCCTCAAGGGAAATTTATAATTTCAATGCATGGAATTTACATACATTTTTTTACTTTCAGCCCCCGAATTGCTCAATTACTTCTATTTCTGCAGGATCGCCATTAGGTAAATTGCATTTCCAAAGATTTTTTCAAAATAAATAGTAGGGATGTGCCGGGTATCCGGTAGATATCCGGAATCCGGCCTATCCGGCCGTTTTTTTGGTTATCCGGTTATCCAGCCGGATACTGGCTAATATCCGGCCGGATTCCGGATATCGATTATAGAAGATTCAATTTAGAAATTTATCCCAGATTTTGTATTTTTGTAATCCAATTTAATAGTATCTAATTAGTAATCAAAGTTAACAATTTGTATATTTTTATACCCGAGCGCACTTGGGCACAAGGGTATTATAACTTTGTTCACATAACGGTTGTTTGTAACAGGCAAAACGAATCGAGATAGATATAGACAAATGTATACATAAATGGTCAGGATGAAAAGAGAAATCGATTAAGCGGTGACTGTCTGTCCGTCCGTCCGTCCGTCCGTCTGTGCACACGATAACTCGAGTAAAAATTGAGATATCTTAACGAAACTTGGTA